CAACAAAGTGATCAAGATATCCATAAAAAAGGTAAAAACCGCTTACTGAATTGAGGATTATTTGGTGCTCTGTATGCATTATATCTTGCATCTAATGCAAGGATCTGATGAGAAATATTCATGACATCTAGGTGGTTTTTCTCGGCTATCTTCTCGTTTTGTTTTGGTTGATGTCGTCCATCTTGGATTAGTTACCAGTCCTCATGAGATAAAGCTCCCAGAAACCTTTTCGAGTTCAGCTTGAGAACGTGGAAAAAACATGAAAAAGAAAACGGAAGAAAGAGAAAAGATAGTGTCTTCGGCACAAATTCATGAAAAGGTCCCTCTTACTCGTCGAACTGGYCATTGACAGAATCAAAATTGTACTAGCTGATGCATGTGGAAAAAATAGAGCTGGCCTGCGCCGGTCTAATGCTTTTTTAATAGCGCATTTTATTCAAATCTTTCACTTTAATCCATTAAACTAGCCTGTGTTACATCCGAAAAACTGGCTGAATAGATTTTGTCTTAACATCATGGAAAATGTCGCGGTTCAGGAACACTTCGCGGACCCGTTGCGGATATTTCACTAACTGGAAAGCAACAGTTTCTATACCCCTCGTCTGTTCAGTGATGATTGTACCCTGTATTTTGGAATGAAAAAAAAAAACAAAAAAACAAGAGAACAATATAAAAAAGCTATCAGTTATCGTCTTTTATTAGCGTAAACAGGGAAAGGCACCACAGGGTACCCATGACCCCTATCAAGCGATATTAGTTTGGAAAAAAAATAGAAAGTCTGAAATTTGGACTGTTTTAGCGGACATAAAAATGTATAGTAAGTATAGTACGAGGACACAACTATCATCATCAAAATGGTGTAGCTGCTCATTGCCTAATTTCGTCATTGATGCGGCCCTGAATTAGGCAGGACTACAAAACCAGGGCCTGTTGTACAAAGTTTGGATGTGGCTATCTGATGGACCAGTGAAACACTCTTGGTTTTATCCTCTGAATAAGGATTCATCCCGTTGATAGCACTAGCACTTTCACCTGCCAGAAGTGTGCAAAACCCTTTCATCTTGTTTCATATGAAGTGTACAATTCTTTCTTATGGCAAATCTAAATAAAACTTGTAAATACCAAAAAACATATAAACGCAAGTGGCTAAGTTAAAATTTGTTTTTATTTCGTATCAAAAATAAAAATTTTGACAGTAAAAAAATAATTTTCGATTATAAATCTGATGTGTGTCCATTTTTCACAAAAATATATTCATTTTTTTATATTACACCGACTGGCTTTTAGATTTGAATACACGAGRGTGTGAAAACACCACTAAAGCCGCTGTAGGAAGTGCTAGAGATCCCACGTTAATATTCGGTGTTCAGCTCAGATATCGCTCGTCACGTGGTATCACTCCACCAATCATATGCAGGAATTAGGTCGACGATGATGAGCTTGATCARCGGAAACTGCCCTTCGGTGGATTCTCTCTGATCCGACAATGTTGGACTCGGTGGACGTTTTCTTTAACTCTTCCTCGAATATTAATTGATTTGTGTAGGTTTTGAGGTTTAGGCAAGACAGACTTTGTAAGGGGTTCTTCGAGATTGATACTTTGGAGTCGACGTGTGCGCTTTTCGGCCGCTGTTTTATTTTCATCTTTGCTTGCGATGGAGTTAACATGATCTTGTTTGCACAAGGTGTAATGGCTTCCTCAGCCGAGGTTGTCCAGCCTCTTTTATYAGGAGGAAGGGTTTTAGTTCTGAATACCGGTGCTGATCGACCACGTGATAGTACACTTGGTGCGCGGTTATCGGGTAGCGGAGGAGGCTTCGGATAAGTCTGCATCACGTGCGTAAAATGAATCATRTCCGTGATGTTATCATTCTCAGAGAAWGGATTTACGTCACGCTCGTYCTTAGTCTTACTCGTTGACACTTTGGCAGGGGAGGACTGAGGYCGCGTGCCTTCTTTTCTTCTTGAACTCAAAATCCTAGTCACATGGTTTTGAATGCTGTTGACTGTGCTGTCTCTATGGGCACGCGCAGGCGCACTTGTGATTCTCTTRCCAGTCTTCRCGGGGCTTCCATCGTAGAAGAAGGTAGTGCGCGAAGGAGGTCTGGAGGGAAGACTGTCTTTGGTGTCAGCACGGTGAAGTCTTTGAGCGCGCACGTAATGACGGGGCTGTTTYTGAGGYCCATGTTTTCCGTACAAGTKGATTGTCCCTAATCCTTCAGGTCGYTCGGGTGGAAGAGTATAGTCCCATACAATAGTCTCAAAGTTGAAAATCAAAAGGTTACTCAGGGTGTTGATGACAAGTCTGTAAAAAGAAGAAAAAAAAGTTACGACTTGTTGTGCAATCACCAGAATCAATTAAAACACTCAAACAAGTTTCACTTAAAAGGAAAAAAACCTGGCATAATATTACATGTATATCAGCCGCAAAGCCTCCTTACACTTACAAACTAAAATGACGTCAGTTTGTATTTTCATCAACCCCAAAGTGCATTTCCCCGAACATCTTATGACGTCAAATGGCGAGAACGCGTATGGCCCAAAGGGTGTCCGAGGTCTCAGAATGGAATGCAATGAGAAATCTACCTTACCTATTATCAGCGGCACATATTGCRTTTATGGCGTCATTCCTGCTGTTTCCTCGTATCAGTCGAAGGCAATCGCCGTTCAAGAGATTCCAAATTCGTAGCTAGAGAGAATGAGAGCGGTAGGTTAGTCGCTGTTGTTGTTGTTGTTTTTCTTTTTGCGGAAGTTTTTCAAGAAATTGATGACTTTTACCTTTCCGTCGGCAGACCCGGTTATTACACGGCARTAGAGGAACTCTAGGCAAAGAACTTCCCTAAGAAAAAAAAAATACTCGATTGATATAACTAAGTTATAGGGAAAACTCAGGGGAGCTGGTTTTTCTATCTCAGGTGGACGTGAGGGACTGGTATTGTTGCAATGACGTTTTGTATTGCGGTGATGTGAGCGTTTTAAAGTTCGGTGTTCCGAGGCGATTTTTGTGGAAGAGCTGTGTYGAAGACCCTAAAATGTCCCTTCCCACTCCTCAGCCAATACCGAGCTGTGTCAACTAGTGCTTTAGAACGTGTTCAATGTGCCACATTTTCAAATTGCTCTAGCGACAACATCAAAAGCATTTACTTTTGTCGTCTCTGCGTTATATAAGCCGAAAGACCAATCAAAAAGCAATTACATTGTTTTCGTCTTACTTTGGATGTCTGAAGGCCTGTAGACATTTCTTGTGTTGTCCAACTGCACTCCATGCCATGGCATAKCCATCCATACTTCCAGTAATGATATGGTAGGAGTCGAACTTTAAGCATGTTATAGCACGGTGGTGACCATCGAGTGTCTTCATAAGGAAAAAAAATGATTAAAAACACTGTTAGCGATATGTACTGCATGTGTAATTGTGGGATATTCAAGGAAAAAAGATTGGATTATTTCTATCTAATGTATATAATAGACTAATTCCATAAGTCGGCCCCAGTTCACTCTCGTTTAGATTTTTCCGTCGCTCACTATCCGACGCTAGTTTGAGCGACAAACCGAAAAAAGCGGGTAAACTACGACTTATCGCGTCTAATGTATTTTGCTATTGTTAAATGTGTCTTTATCCTAACAGATGCAATGATCTCTACGGCCTTGACAGACTCTATTGAAGGATTTCTAAGGATGGATATCTCAATAGGGTTTCTGAGGATGTTTCTGAGGATGGATATCTMAATGAATATGCCTCATTTTCATTTTATATAAACGTGATCCTTAAAWTTTTTTAGCAATCTTACAATTTTAAATATGATGACAAAGAAGGCGGCAATAATAACGTCATTTTGTACCTTAAACAGTGATGCAGACTCGATGTCCCAGACTTTGACTTTCCCACCCTCACATCCACTWACTACAGTATTTTTGGACACCTGAAAGAAAAACGAAGATATTTTATTACCACACTGCCAAACCTAAAATCCATGGACTTCTTAAAAACCTGCATAACCTTTTGAGGTGATAAACGAAGCTTCATTACCTTGACATCAAGTACAACATGGCGATGACGAAATGTTCGTCGACATTTTCCAGTGGTAAAGTTCCATACTTTGACGCTCTTGTCACGTGACCCGGAAGCTAGATTGTTGCCATGGAGACTGATACACATCACTGTTGCACGGTGTCTAAATTTAGAGAGAATTTTGATCGTTATTTACATTTGTCATGTCGCAAATGAACCTTTGAAAATGCTAAATGACATCAATTCTTACCCACGGAAGATACATTTGCAGTTTCCACGCTTGATATCCCAGCACCTAATAAAAAATACCATATATAGATATAATCGTTTAAAAAATGGAAGAATGAAAGATTAAATGAAAAAAAAAAGATAAAATGAGTGAATCGATGAATGGTTGAAGGAATCGTTGCACGACGTTTTGGAATAAAAAGACGAATCAAGTTGGACCGTCCAACTTCAGTCCAACTTCATCGCAGCTCTTTTACAACGACGAAGGTCCAACTCTCGAAAGGTCGACCGGTGAAAATATTGCTTGCAGTGCTTGAGGGGCAYCAACAAAGCACTTGAAATCYCGTGCGCTTTTGTTCGATTTTGTTAAGTGCAATTATTTTTTGCATACGCATTCTGGGATATTCATCTTGTTCATGACCGTGTTTTATCTGTTTCATAAAAACAATTACTAATACTAATCATCTCTCAGAGATGTAGAAGAGTCTTCTATACAGAAAATGGATGAACTAATGAAGAGATAGATGAATGGTTAAAATGAATAACTGAATGA